CGGGCCTCCAGCAGCAGCGAGGTCGCCGTGCGGGTAGGCAGCCCTCGGGCTGGAGCGCGTGGCTGCGCGCGTGTTGCCTACTCTGCGCCTGACGGCCGCCGCCCCCCATTAAAGCACGTCTCATTTATCATCTTCCTCCGTCACGTCCGCGGCGCATTAATGAAGGCTAAAAGGTACCGGGGCGGCGCGCCTGGACAGGGCCGGCGGTATTCCCCAACCTCCGGCGCCCCCCCCCCCTCGTGCTGATTTGGCTTGCTGAGCTGAGCAGCATCAGCCGATGCGATCGTCCAGGTTTAACGCGCTACGAAGGTCTTCCCCCCCGACAACCCCTCACCCCAATCCCTTCCTCCTTCCTAGCGTCCTTTGCCAATCCGGCGAAACAGACAAGAGAAAGGACAAGTAGCAACACAGCAGTAGTCGCAACTCATGCACAAGAGGGGCACGGAGTGAGTGGGTCGAGATAAAGGCAAAGGCAGGAGCCAGACCAGGAGACGGCCGTCTTATTTTACTTCGTGTTATTTTCTTCCCCTCTTGTCTCCCCTGCCCCTCTGCGTGAGGGTTTTTTCTTCTTTCCACTTTCTCGTCCTTCTGTCGGGCGCACCGGGGGTTTAGGAACGACGGGCAAATAGAGTCGGGTATCAAACGCGATCTGGTTTGCATTGCACTCGCCTCTCCTGGGGGATAAGCGGCGGGGGGGGGAGTAAGGAAGGCTGGCGCGGAAGCACTCGGACGGACGATGCCTGATGCGCCCGCCGGCATAAGGGGCAGCTCTACATATTTAAAATGCAATTACGGTGTGAAGAGAGTGGGAGGGAGGAGAGCGCGAGGGGGATGGAGAGAGCGAGAGAGATAGACGTAACTCCCCAGGGCTGCAGCCTGCCAGCCAGCCGGAGCGCATCCCCACCGCACGGCCTGGGCAAGCAGAGCCAGAGCCTACGCCCGGGTACCGCAGGGACCTGCCCCCTGCTACCCTACCCGCCGGAAAAAGAAGAGAAAGAAAGAGATTACAGTGAGCGGAGCGGGACAGAACTGCATACGCCCGCCGAATTACCGGGGCGGCGAAACAAAACGACTTTAAGCCAAAAAGAGAGAAAGCGTCGGTTAGGGAGGAAGCGCCAGAGCTAAATATACAGGCCGCGCCAGATATTAATTAGAGCTTTCTCAGAGAAAAGCCTAGGCGCGCATATATAGGACTGTTTTTCCAGGCGTGGCAGAGCAGGGGGAGAGGGGGGGCGACACTGGGGAGCTCGGGGTCCCCGGAGGACCGACCAGCCGGCGCAAAGAGGCATGGCGATCGTTACTAAACAAATGACCGAGTGGACAGAGACTCTCCCGCCTCGCTACTCTCCTCCTCTCCACCTCCCCCTCACCCCAACATACAAAGGGGTAGTAAACGCAACGTGATGCAACGGACGCACCCATCCCCCCCCCCCTTCTCACCCCAGAGACAAGAGCAATTCTCTCTCCCTCTCTCTCAGCGTGACTACAAAGTAGCACAGCGACACACAGGGGTGGCATCACTGTTGACAGTCCAAACAGGCAGACAAGCGGCAGCACAGCCGATGGACCCCAAACGCCCCCCCCCCCCCCGTCCCCTGCTTGCTTCAGGCTCGAATAACGAACAGCTCTAGCTGCCCCCGGGGGAGCGTTCCGTTACATGTGTTGGTGCACGCCTCGCCTGACGAGACGTCTCACTCCTGACGCCGCACGCCCCGCCGCGCGGCCAACGAAAACACGGCCCAGGCATTCGAACCAATTCAGACATGAATGAGTGTTCATGTCCGACAGACGCCTGACGCTGTCCTCGCAGCAACGGCAGAGCAGAGCGAGGGACCAAATAATTAATGTGCGCATTTTTCCTCTTTCGTTTACCATCCCCCCCCCCCCTCTACTCCAACCGACGACAGTGCGAACTCGGCCAGTTTTGCCCAGCAGCAGAGGCAAGCTCGCGTCCACTTAGCTCGGACCGAGGCTCGGACGCACACCTGTCCCGTCCCGACGCGTATACACTCGAATCGGGTGGCCCCCCTCCTCTTCACACACATACAGACACACAGAGTTGATATCTCCCCTTTCCCCCCTCCCCCGGGGCCGCAGATCGCAGCCACAGGCCTAACCCAGCCGGCGCCGCCAATTTGGCTGACCCTGCTGCATTCTCCGCCCGCCGCCGCAGCAGAGTCCCTTATTCACCCCCCCCCCACCCCCCCACAATTCCCCTCGCATACCTTACTGCGCCCGTGAGAACAAAACTCGCAATGCCGAAACGAAATCACAACCATACCCACCCATGGGCTCCACGTCCCGCTGCGCCTCATTGAGTTCAGCCCCCGGGGAGCCGGTGTGCCCCGCGGCGGCACCCCCGCCCATGCGCTAGAGACTTTTTCATTTACACGCGCGACGCCAATTCGCCTCGGATGGAAAAGAGAAGGAAAAACGACGGCGACGAAAAAAAAGAAAAGAAAACAGGAAAAACCCCAGCACAGAGAAACGAGACACCACTATAGCGGAGCGAGAGACTCCCCACCACCTACACACGGCCCCCTTCCCCCTGTCTCGCACCTCGCCATCCAAACCAGAGCCCATCCCATTTGCCTTCATACAACACACCATCCCTTCATTTTTACCCCCTGTTGCTCCTTCGAGGCCAAAGAACACACACACACGCACACCATCCCTGCATTGCCCCTCTCTGTGCAGCCAGCCAGGTGCATGGTACCCCCGCCCCCCCCTCTATCTCTCTCACACACACACACACATACGAGCCCATAAAGCCGCGACACGGCTGGGCGGGCCTCCCCGACATTTAGCGCGTCGTCATCATCGCGCTACAGCCCCATAACGTCTTGGCACGCGCTCACAGAGGGCGCCCCGCGTCCCGCTCGCACGCCCGGCGCGCCGCCTTACCCGTCCCTCTCGCACTCATTAGCGCCCCGAGAAAGCGCGTGTGTGAGTGTGCGCCATACCGTCGATAACCCATCCCCCCTCCCCAACCCATACCAAAACACACGGCGTGCACGTTAATGGCCGCCGCGTAAATTTCTCATTTCCCGCGCATTACGCCCCATTTGCCCCCCCCCCTCCCATCCCCCCGCGACATTTTATTGCCGGGCGTTGCGGCCGACATTCAAAAACGCGTTGGCTTCGCGCGGGTCCGTTCGTAAAGGGGCACCTTTGGCCGCTACACCCCATGGAAGCTGCCGCTTTTGGCGCGCATTTTGCACATTTTCGCGTAGTCCCACTCCCCCCTTCCATCAGCCCAAGCCCCCACCCAACCGCTCGTCTGCGCGCCCCAAATCACTTGTCGACGGACGGACAGGGGAATGGATTTAGAGTGCGGAAAACAAGGGGAGGGGGCAAGGAGGAAGGAGGGGGCAGAGACTAGAGCGGCACAGCGGAGGCCCGAGGTTTTCGAACACCAATTATTCACCGGAATCAATTATTAAAGTTGGTCGCGAGCACGCGGCGGCGGCGGCGGCCTCGAGCCTCGAGGCGCGTCGCGTCGCTCCAGCCCCACACCTGGGCCGCGTGTTGTATCGAGGCGAGGCTAAACGGGACCGCGCGGCCGAGCGCCTGGGGGGGCTCCAGGAGAGGGCCTACAGGGAGAGGCCTGTGCAGGAGGGCGCAGCGCGGCTAAAGGAGCTGACGGAAGTCTATTCATCTCAGTCGCGCGGAGGGGAAGAGAGAGAGAGAGAGAGAGAGAGAGAGAGAGAGAGAGAGAGAGAGAGAGAGAGAGAGAGAGAGAGAGAGAGAGAGGACACCGTGAAATAGGAAGCCACTCACGACAAATGTAGCGGAACGGTCGTCTTCCTTCGGTTCTGCTGCTCCTGCCCCGCCGTGCACCTCCCCTCCCTCCCAGCCTGCCTCCCCTTTCGCCCAACTTACCTTTGCACGCCGCACAATCTGCCGACATCGAAGAAAACCCAAGAGTCCCTAAATAAAATGCAAAGCGCGCGACCGGCGGCGTTAGGGTAGGGCCCCGTGACAGATGGACCCTTCGCATCCGCGCACCTTCCTTCCCTACCTCGCAGGCGAAGCAAGCAAACTTTTTAAATGGCTTCTAGCAAACCATCCACTTCCTGCCAATCTAAAGCTACACACAAGCACAAAAAAAAGACAAACACAAATACGGTGTACACGCTCGTTCACTCAGACAAACATCCCGTCTGCATACCAACTGCATTTGAATAGAATGAATGATTTAAGAAGACGTCATAATATGTACTGAGAATGGATATGCCAATTGTTTTTCCTTGTGATTCTCTTTTGGCGTCAATATAGAATGAAACTGTTCAAAAATCTCTGTGAATTTGAGGTCTTAGAAAATTGTAAAGAGTTTAATTTATGTTGTTCTTGTGCAGTATCCAGTATATGCGGACAGGATCAAGTCCATTAAAGGTTAACCCTCTTTCTTTCTTTTTCCGGTATGAAAATTAAGAGGTTTCCATTCTTTTGACTGAGTAAGTGGCGCCCGGGCGGCGAGCCCGGGATGTTGTTCCAAACGACTCACCCATTGGCGGTGCTGTGTAGTCCCAACTCTCACTGTCATTTTTGTACACGTTCAGCTTGGTGGGCTGCAAAAGAGAAAAGAGTCGATGTAAGTGCCATGCCGAGTATGTATGTGTCTGTGATGTTTTTGTGATCACCAGGAGAGTATATACCCCTCTACCTACTCTCACAAAAAATGAAAACAGACAAATCAAAAACAAGGCCCCGAACACAGAAAGGTCTAAACACTAAACATTCACTAGCTTCATTAAACGCTTGTCGCAACAAACGACTGCAACTATTCTCTGCCTGGCACCGCACACTGCGAATGCATCAGGCGACCGGCTCGGGTAGGGGGGAGAACAAGAAAAGAAAAAAAATAGAAGGCGGGGAAAGCAAGTTAAAATTGTAGTTTACTACAAAGCTCATGTTTTGCTACATTCTATGTACGAGTTACTATCTCCTAATAATGGATAGCCGCCAGCCTTCAGCTGTGACGCTGCATTTCCGGGTCATAAGAACATAGGACTCAAAAGACCTGCATCGTGGAAAGTCATGAAGATAACTAGAGACAAGGCGTTTCTTTATGTCTTAAGTATTCATGTGTCAATTGCATTTCTTGTTAGCATAGAGACTTCAGTATCATGGTTTCATGTATGGAGTTGTTATCTTGAATTCATTCTTGCGCTCTGAATTGACAGATATGTTTTCCAGCCATGGGATCGTTTTTTTCCTTCTTGAGCGTTGATGGCAAATGGTGACGTGACGACAGTGTAGACTGGCGTTCCGAGCGCCGAGCGGCCAGCCAGCCCCCCACAGGCCGAACGCACCCCAACTTGGCGCCACTTGCCGCCCTTCGCTTCACTCTCTCCCCCTCCCCTTCCCCGCGAGGCGGAGAGAGTGAGAGAGGAGACAGGGGCGGGGCTGTGCAATCACACATCGACCCAGTCTAGCGAGGGGAGACGAACTCCCAACAAAGACTACTGTCCTCCCTGTGGGGTAGCGAGTCAGACGCAAAGGAACTTCTTGGTTTTGTTCTGAGTTCATTCAAGGCGTCGTACAAGTGCATTTTTTTAAAAATCAAATGTTTCCAATTTAGATTTTGATGCAGTAGTAGTAAGTGCGAGCACCGCCATGTGCAGAATTGTGTCCGTACTTGCTTCTTGGGTCTGTGCTGTTCGGTGCATGGCCTATTCAGTGAAGCTCCTCGGGTCGATGTGTTAAATTAGACGGCGACCGGCTAGGGTATGACAAATTTACGAGGCGCACACTTCCTCGGCAATTCGAGGAGGCCACGGGCGACAACCATACCAACCGACACCATGGGAAATAATGCGCTTTGGAAATACAGAGTAAGATACCATTGGATGCACCGAGAACGACATGAAAAAGGAATAATACATAAACACACACAGAGCCAATAAACGAGCGAGCAAATTATTCACTCCAGTCGGGCGATGGCACTCGACTCGAGGCCAAACAGTGACACAGCTGCGCGGCCCCACTCCAAACAGGCGCGCACACACCACCACCAAAGCTCTCCCACACACACACACACACATGGGTGCGCGAGCACGACTTTTAGAGTGCGGAACGGAGCTGCTCTCTCTAAGCAGCGGCCACAGCAACAGCAGCGCTCGATAAACTCGACCTGTTTATTTCATCCCCATCCCCTCCTCCTCCTCTTTTTCGACTTTAGCCAGATTTTATCTCGCGGAGCCGCACTCAAATTATCACCACGAGCGAGCGACACGTGACCGACCGGCATAGGCCACGTCCCAATCAGCGCATCCTAATCGCCTTCATTTTAATTTGGAGCGGCGGAGATTAAATCAAATGAAAATGGAGACAGAGCGGGTCCCTTTACGCCCCTCGCCCCCCCTCCCCCATCAGCCGCCTCACTCCGCCAGCCCTCTCTCCCGCCAGTCCCATGGCACCTGAAACAGTAACGAGATTCTGCTCCCCCTCCCCTCGCCTCTACCTCCGCGCAGTAGATCACCGCGCTCCGATAGCTCACCGGCAAATGACGAGCCGTCAAACGGGTTAACTGCCGAGCACCCGACACACTCCGGATTGTGCCTCTCGCAATCCTCGGAATCCCCATCATCTGGAGTGCAAGGGCTGCAAAACAGGACAGCGCCTACAAACGTAGGACTGTAGAGTTTTCCGGGGCAAACCTGGCTTTCAAAGTTTCAAGCAGAAATGCTCGTCAAGTTACAGACCCTTCTTGTGATGCTGAAAAACATCTCACAAATTTTTACACGATTTTGTAACAGGTGTACCAACTCTGACGGGCCTCGACACAAGAGAGGTCCAGCCCGCAGCGGTCACCACGCCCGAGCCGAGCGCGAGGGGCCACCAGAGAGAGAGAAAATATGAAAATGATAAATCTGCGGAAACGTGAGGAGGCTACCACGTGTAAACCGTGCGCCGTCAGCCATCGCGCTCTTTTTATTCTCCCCTTCTCCCTCCCTCCAGCTATGCTCTCGCCACCCTTCTCCCTCCCAGGGCCAACACACTTCTCGCTAAATTAACCCATTTTCCACGAGCACAGGGATACGAGAGGGCGTTTGTTATCACGCCCCAGCCCCCCCTCAGACACACAGACGACTGCTCTTCATTCTCTAATGCAGACAGACGAACAGACAGATGACGGCGCCCACCCCTCTCTGCTCCTTCGCTCCAGGTGGAACTTCAATAAGACACTCCCATCACAGAGATTTATAGAAACGATCGGTCGAACGGTCGGTCGGGTGGGCGAGCGGGGAGAAGACGCGCGCGCCACTCGCCGGCCGGCAACAAACTTTACCCACTCCTGGCCAGCATCGAAACGGGAAAACTTTTGACTTCAATTCGTCTGCCTTATCCTCTCCCCCCTCTCCAGCACGCCTTTTATTCGTCCTCATATCTTCTCCAGCCGCGTGGAAGCAGCGCGCGGTCCATCAGCCGACGGACGCCCAGTGCGGAGGTGACAGCGCCAGACACACGAAGCACCTCGCGGATTGTTGCCAAGTCTTGAGGGAGGAACGACCCGGCATCACTGCACACTAAAATCTTATGAACTTTTTTGTTCATAGTTACTGATTTCTGTAAACATGCTCGGCTTACGCATTTTTTAATACGCCAGTATGCACAAATTTATTCATACTGGCGCATTAAAAAATGCGTAAGCCGAGCATGTTTACAGAAATCAGTAACTATGAACAAAAATGTTCATAAGATTTTAGTGTGTGGTCCAACTTAAATTAGCGTCCACCCGTGCAAGAGTGAGAGAGCGAGGGAACGCGCGGAGGACAAGGCGAGGCAGGGTAGTCGGGCAAAAGGAAAAGAAGACGCGATGAAAAAACAAAGTTATTGGCAAATGTTTGCCACCGCTCGCATCGCGATGCGGTTATTTCATGTCCCCCCCTTCCTCAAAGGCTTAAAAAAAAAATTCAAGCAAAACAAGAAGTTCTGAAAGTACACTGCCAAGTGTAAGCCGGTCTCACACTCGCGAGATTAGCCCCTCTCCACACCCCCATTTACCAGAACGAAAAGGGTACGGAATAACCCCGCATGTGAGAGAGTCTGCCGCGAGTGTGACACAATTGACCGTATTCGCGAGCGCGCGGGGCTGCGGCCGTGGCCTGATGGCGCACGAACCGCGCGCTCGGTCGGGGGCGCCGCGTTAAAATGCAAAACAAAATGGGCCATCGACGGAAGGCGATCGAATAACCTTTCATGTGAGGGACTGGGGGGCTGCAGTGCGGTCGGGTCGGGCCGCCGCTGCACGCCACTGCACACCCATGACAATGCTCTCAGAATAGACCAGCCCCAATTAACACCGGCTTCGTGTGTGTGTGTGTCTTTTCCACTATAACCCCCCCCCTTTCCCCTTCACGTTACCGAGACCCCACTCCCCTCTCTCGCCTTCTCCTGCCTGCACGCGAGGTGCACACAAGCCACACCCAATGTCGACATAAAGTCGAATCCATCAAACCTCGGCCAGAGCCGTCGTCGGCAGCCCGCCCGCACCCCCTCCCCTCCTTCCGGCCCTTCCCTTCTCCTATACTCTCCCGTTTCCTCCATAGTCCGGGGGGCGGCCTCCTACCCTTCGTTGCGCGCGGGAAATGAACACGCCAAGGCAAAGGAGGCAGAATATAGAAAATACACACAAAAAGCCCAACCCCCTGGCCTCTCTTCACCCCGTCCACTTCCTGAAAAGGGGGGGGGGGAGTCGACATTACAGCACGCCTCAAGTAAAAAAAGTATCCCCGGCAGGTGTCGGCAGCCGCCCCCCCCCCTCCACTCTTTCTTGGCCCGGGCCGTCTGAGCCGCGAGACAAGTTTAAAGCCCTTCGCTGGCATTAACAATGCACCGCGTCACCTCCGTCGCCGTCAAGACGCCACCCCAGAGCCCCTTCCGCACGAATAAAACCACCACTTCCGAAATGAGACGCGCACCTCCCACCTACAACCACCACCTCCTCCTCCTCCTCCTCCTCGTCCCCGTCACTGTCGCACGAGGTCAGGTCAGCGGGGCGGGGTGCACCGCCACCTGCTCCCGCGAGCCCGGCTGTCGTCATAATTACGGACCTCTAGCTTGTCTGTCACCGACAGCCCCATTGTAGCGACACCGCTTCCTTCGCGCGCCCGTCTCCTAGAGGCAGTTCCGCTCTCCTCGCCCAGCAGCGTGGCGCGGCGTGGCGCGGGCGAGCGGGCCGGGCCCCCACCTGGCACGGGGCCACCCTCTCCCCCGGCCCCCAACACGCACCGACACAATGCAGCC